ACATTGGTGTGTCTCATACTGAATCCAAAACACAGCACCACACCAGCTACCAGAAAACAAATTAACTCCATCCCAGCTGAAACCAGGACAGCTCAAGGTATCAGCAAAGAACAGAAATACGAGCAAATGTTCTCATAAAAAACCCTGTGTTTAACTAGTTCATTTTAATCAGTGTTAGATGCTGAAACCAGTTTCTGCCTGGGCTGAAACCCCCATCTCTTATCTGAATTCAAAGGGACTTCTGTTCTGATAGGAACTTTGCATCTTCTATTTCTCAGCACATATGTGTGAAGTTGCAGCCTTAACTCTGATCTCTGTTGTAATCATTGCTCATCCAGTATATTTATGTGTATTTTAAGAAAAATATAGCAACCTGCAGGTTCTTTCACTTTTGGTGGTTACCTTTAGCAGTAATTGCTGGTCTCTGGAGTCTGCATTACCCACCAGAGGGAGCTGAAGCCAAAAGCAGTCTGATTTTCATAGAATCATACAATCGTTTAGGTTGGAAAAGACCTGTGAGATCAGAGTACAACCAGTAGCCCAAGTCCATCATTACGCCATGTCCCTAAGTGCCACAGCTACGTCTTTTAAATAACTCCAGGGATGGTGACACAACTTCTTCCCTGGGCAGCCTGTTCCAATTCTTGGCAACCCTTTTGGTGAAGAATTTTTTCCTAAAATCCAATCTGCCATCTTCTGGAGCAACTTTCAATACCCAGGAGGTTGCCAGGTGAAAGTCATCTCTTACACTTCACAGAGCCTTTGATTTGGGCATTTGTCCTCAAGTTAGCTTGGGAGCAGATGGTGACCAGGTAGGAAATAGGGTTTGACTCCCTGTGCTAAGTTATTACCTCTTTTGGGAACCCTCACTATAGTCTGTCAAAGCAGGCAAAGCAAGAACTTGTGATGTACATGTCATTCTTTGGTTTCTATGTATCCTGTTCTTCTTGAGACACGAATAAAGACACCAGAATTGTACAAAATAGGAATGACTGAGAATAAATAGTCATCCCTAAGAAAATTAGGCCAGGTAGAAGCAAGTGTGAATAGGTTCTCTGAGTCTTTAAAAGGAAATCTCTCAAAATTCTTGACTGTAAACAGTACTGACTTGGGCAATGAAGCAGGAACTCCTTGTAGTGTTTCTTTTTGGTAAACAATTGGTCAAGGTGAAAGGGGATTTATTGTTCTAGTTTGTAAAATCATAAGATCAATTTGTATTTCATTGAAAAAATAAATCTGCTTTTGACTTAGAGTATGGGAGGAGTGCTGATCCTTGTAGACAAATGAACTTTTTTCTACACATTTCCTTCTGCACTTGGAATAACTCATCCACAGAGAAATAAGTAGATGTTGAGACACAGAGATTAACAGCAGAGAGGTGGTCAAGAAAAGCTTCTTATACCATTTCTGAGTTGTAGCTGACCACACAAAAGTAGTCTTTAGGAAGAGATGGAGTTGACTTCTTTATATGAAAAGGGCAGGAAAGCTCACACAGCTAATTATAGTTTAGCAATTATATACAAATCTGGTCCCTACTGCTTCTATGGTACCTGCTGAAGTCATTTGTAATTTTCAGTGCTATGGCATCATTTGACTTCTGCAACATGGTTAATCTATTGGTCATGAGAATTGTAACTGACAGGAGACAGAAACTTCCCTAGGTAGTAATTAAATTTGCTTTCTACAATACCAGTTATGGCTTAATGGCCTCTTAGACTTCCTAAGGCATTTTTTTTTTCAGTTTCAAAATCTTGTCCTGCAAAAATGATAACAGTCTCATCAAGTAACCTGAGTTTCAGCTCAGGTTTCTGTTCCTTGATGGTATTTTGTCATGTTCTTCAAAGGAAGGTACGAGACAGTTTATATCAAATTGCTGTCTAATGAACTTTTGCTTAGTTAATTGGCTTCCTCAGTTAAAGATTACCTTATACACTGGAGCATGAGGTTTTAATACCTTTTCTTAAAATGTCTAACTTATGAAGGGCTCATTATCAATTTTTTTTTCAGCATTTCAGAGAGGAGGACTTATTACAGTATTTATTTTGCTTATGAATTTAGTTAATAATAGGATAATTTGTTAGGACTTTTAATAAGTATTTTCCAACATTTGGAATGAATCTGTCAAATGTAGAAAATAAAAAGAGAAAGGTAAAAATTTAAAAATTATTAGCAGGAGACTCATTACTTGCAAAACTGAAACAAACCTTAAACTGTGCAGTTTACAATTGTGTCTCTCAGCAGTGGCTGCTGGATAAATTGCACACACTTTTTATGTCCACTTAAGGATTTTCTTAATTAAAGAAAATATAATGGGAGAAAATTCCACAACTCTTTTGGATGATGAGATATAATTTCTTTCACAAGTTAACTAGCTATAAAATGACCCTTCACTTTGCTTTTTTAGGGGTTTTCTCATTACTTTTTATGTTCCTCCTAATTGTTTCTGACAGCTTTTTACTTCTCTCTCTGTACTTCATTCCTGCTGTCATTTCAATATCTGTTTCAATTCTCTCTTGTTTGGATTTATTTTTCTCTTTTGCTTTGTGTGTGGGTTATACTTTCACATTCTCTGTTTTCTTATTTGACTTCTCTTCCCCTTAGAGTTTCCTTGCCTCATACTTCATTCTGGAGTCAGGAAAGGGAAAGGACTACATGCCAGCTACAAAGTCAGGAAATATACTCAGCTCTGTAATTTTTTTTTTTATTATTTCAAGGTTTTGATCTGATGGATTCATGTCAGTTGATGCATGAAATACCCCTTTCTTCAGCAGATACAACTATATACAGGAATTTCTCCATACTTACATCAGGAAATTCAGTCAAAGATTATATTCTATGCGTTTATAGACTGGTAGAAAGTATTTTTCACCATTGAGAATTCAGTATTAAAAAGTTCCCCTTCATAATTCAATTGAACATCAGTCTTCCATCATTATATTTTTGAGAAGTCAGGTCTGTTAATAATTTCTTGATATTTACTCCATTGCTGTATAATTGATATATTGTCACTATATAAACCAATTCCAAATTTATAAGGGATTCCAATGATAAATTTTGTACGTTTGATTTCTCTTGTCTCTTCAGCAACCTTCTGTATCTTCCACTAACAAACTGCTACTCAAGTACTTCTTCCAAACATAATTTGAAGGGCATTCTTTCCTGGTATGCAGCTTTATGTTTCTTGAGATTGTCAAACTGAATTTTCTGAGAACTAGATTTGTGCTAATGCAGAAATGTTCTCTCAGTTGGTGTCATATTCCCAGTGTCAGCTGGGGGTTCATTATAAATCTTTGCTGTGTAAATACTGTAGTCATGTAAAAAAAATAATGGGTTTCCTAATGCTAGGAAAGGATGGTCATAATTACTTATGCAGTATGTTGCTTACGCAGGACTTGAAGGATGAGGTTTAGGACAAGTGTCTGCCACTCACATTAATTTAATTTTTCAAAAGTCACTGGCAATACTCTATATTAAAGACAGAAATAATTTGCAAAGGTAAATCCAGGAGTTAATTGCTAGGAGTTAAGACAAAGTGTTTGAAAGGAAATGGATGAAAAGGGAAGGAAGCAATAGACCATACATACAAGAGATTGTAAAGTGCCATCCAAAGTGCCTGCTGGTATCCTTATTCAGTCCTTTTATCATTGGAACATCTGAAGTATATAAAACTAGATTTGCAGATGGTGATGACACTGAGAGGACAGCAAATCATAATGAACATTGCATCTAGATTCAGTGCAGACAGAGACAGGAGATGGGGCAAAACATTTTGAAAATAGCAAAATCAAACCACATTAAAAATCCCAACTACCATACATGACAACCTTTTATAGAATTAAAACATGCAGTTAACTGACATATTTAGCAATATGGTAGTTTTTATTCCTGAACTGTCACTGCCAGAGCAGTCCTCCCCTTTCCAGTCATGTCATAGTTGCTATGAAAAGTGCAAATCTGGCTGCATCAGAGCATGTGGGGGTTATTTGGTACCTTGCTCATTGCGCTGATTCTGACAGTATAGGACCTGACATTGTCACATACCTCTTGCACTGGGTTGAGTATACACATCTGGAAAGAGTTCAGTCTTCCTCGCACATGCACTTAAGTCTTCAGGTTTTATTTAGTAGTGTGATACATTAAGGCTACAGGTATGTTTTTGTCTGTTTTAATTAACACTTGTTTTGTACAGAAATAGAAAAGACAGGGTATTTGGTGCTAGCAAAGGAGATGTGGTTGTTAAATCGGTATGTTAGGATTCTGTGGCCGCTGTTCAGGGAGAAGCTGTAACTAATGACTACTTCCCTATGATCTTTAGCTAATAAGCGTGTAGTAACTTTATTCTTGCTTCTTCAGAAAAGGAAATTGTGCCCAGTTTTTAAAAATATTTTGGCAGTGGCCCATGAGGTCTTCTTTTCTAAATTCTTCTGGAGTCATCTTTTCTAAATTCTTCTGAAGTTTTTGAAAATCACACTGGAAGCCTTTCAACAACTTCAGGTGTCTAATTCTTCCTGGGCTTTTAAAAGTCTGGGCTTTTACCCACAGATTTTTTCATCCAGCCATGTTGTCTGAAAGCAGGAGGTTTCAGGTCTTTTACACCTCCATGAAACCTTCCAGATTCTGGTACCTGCATCCTTTCACGCCCAGCAGTTGCTCCAAGAGCAAATCCTGTAGTACTCCACTACTCTCAGAAGGGTCAGCAGGGCTGACTTCACTTTACCCTGACATAAGTTAGACCCTAAAATATTATTGATGGAGCATGTTTTCTTTTCAAATAGTCTTAGAGAGTTTAAAACAATTGCTGATATAAAGTGCCTCCCTCCTGCTATGAACAGCTCTGCTGTTCCTTACAGAGCAGCAGGTAGAATATTTCAGTGTTAGCACCTTTGTCTACTCTCACACTCTCCAGGGTTGCTGCAATGACTTTATTTGCACCTGCTTCATTAATCATCTGGATTATCATCTCATGGCATTAATCCATGTTGCAGACACTACTGAGATAATTCTCTGGAATGTGAAGACCATAGGCATGTGGCCCAGTTCCTTTCAGTTCACCCCGGAGGTGAGTGGTTTCACTTCTGTTGCCATTTTTTAATAAAGGAGAATTGTTTCTGATTTCTGAAAGGATCATGCAAATGGAAATTTCAAACTATTGCTACTGGTGTTTCATATTCTATTTCAGTAATCTCTTCCACTTTACCATGGCACATTATTTCACTTCCTACCGTTTCACATAAACATCTGTAACAAAGTTGCAATGAAAATCAGTGTGCCATTTGATTAATGAAATTAATACCAAGTGACTTGAATGCCCTGGAATAAATCATGTGACAAAGGAGATGGGCTTAAGTTGTGAATAAGTGTATTCATTCTTGTGAGAATACGAGTGATATGAACCAAATTTAATGTGTATTTTTAAGATAATTTAAATTAAGCTCCAAATATTATGAATGCTGTTGATCAATGAAATGTATTCTAATCCTAAAAATCTCCACATTCTGGAAACCAAGGTATGATTTTCAGTGCTGTCTTCAAGCTTCTGTTTCTATCTCAATAGTTTACCGGTAAACTGAATACTGATATCAAAGATTTATAATTGAATATACATTTTAGATCTTATAAATAATAAGAGATTAATGAGTGTATTTGATGGCATTGAAGTCATAAAACCATAGCATGTTTCAAATAATGTTATGTGCAGCTTGGCTCAGAAAAAGATACCTGGAAACATTCCTTCTGAACACAACTGTTGTGGTAAGACAGTTGAAGAGAGAAAGTTTTGGTGATTTCTACTTTCTCTATAAGCCACATTACATCAGGCTTTACACACAGTGATCAGTACCCTGTATTTCACCTAGAAAGTGAAATGTTCGCCACTGCAAACATTGGTGTACCTGGCTTTAGTGTACTTATCAAAAGGGCAGATAGCAAAATTCAGGTAGACTAACTCCCAAAGTTAAGCAAACTCCCAAAGCAGTCCCAGTAGAACAACCACAGACACATGTTAAATGCAGAACATTCTATTCCTGTGCTATAAATGCTTTTTTTTTCAGTTTAACCTCAAATATATAGGTGTTTCCCTTGAACTTCTTTGTTTAGCTTTTTGTGATGGAGAACCTACCTTCAAATGGAACTTGTCTGCAAAGATCAATAACAAGACAAAAAATACAAAATAGAATTTGAGAAATTGTGACTGTATCAAATTGTTCCAGGCAAGTTCAAAATACATAGGTATTTGATGTTTAAGCACTGCCTTCCTTTCAGGTGAGGACAGGTAGCTGACAAGACAACATGAAAAGCATGATGTTGCCTTTGAAAACATGACTGAAACCTTTAAAAGTTGGTTTTGCCAAAAAGGATGCACAAAAAGTACTACTTTCTGCAATTTGTGCCTGAATTGCCTTGCCTGTTTACACACTGCAAAGGGCTGGATTCAGAACTTATATAAATTGTGAGCATTGCTGGAATCATCTCCTTTAAAAGCAAGTTAAACATAAAGCATTAGCCAGAGGACTCATCTTTGCAAGACCTTGATGTGGTGACTTTTTTAGGCCATGTCTCAGCCAAATTATAGTAAAAAACAAAGGATTTTTTTTCTTAATTAAGAAGGCTCAGAACTCCAGAAGTGACCTCTTGATTCCCACTTGGTTTCAGTGAGACCAGGATTTCAGCCCTGTGTTGCAACTGGGTACATATACAACTCTGCTGGGGAATTGGAAGTCATTGTCATAGAACGGTTCAGAAGATATATAAACCAAGCCACTTCAAACTTTAAAACACAATGGTGACAACACTGTAGGCAGAATAATTACTAGTCATAAATTATGAATGTTTTGGGGTATTTTTGTCTTGGAGATGTATGCAGGAATCTCATTGCTGGAGTGGTTACAGTATTTTACACAGGGAAATCAGAATGCCATGCTGTTAGAATGGAAAAGGTAGAAAGCTTTGATATTGTGCCAATGAGGGATACAAAACCCTTTGTCTTTACAGACAAGGGATTTGCCTCTCCCAGATTCTCTAATAGTCATTTTTCAGGTACTAAACACAAATTTACTGAGAAAGCAAGTTTAGGGGATATGCGCACTTATGGATTTTTTTTATATATTTCTATAAAACCTAACTAAACAATATATGTCTTTAGATAATTTATTGCACAAAGCAGGCAAGACATTTTAAAAATATGTTTTTACTAGATTCCTTTAACTTATGACCTTTTGAAAAAGTATGTGAAGAAACAAGGTCATTACATAGTTCCTTGCCAAAGTAAAGAGTACAGGATTCCTGAGGGAGGGCTACTGCCTGGCCTCTCTGAGAATAGGTAGGAGTTTGTCTCTGGCACTGACTGCAGCATCCACGAAGTTTTATATATAGAACAGACCATATGTTCATTCTCTTTACAACTAACTGCTAAATACTTTTAATTAGAATGATTGTTCAGTCAACCATCTTATTTTCTTGAGTCTCAATAGTTATTAGCATAAAGGGTTTAAAAATCCATCAGATACTCATAGAAATCTCTAAACAAAGTTCAAGTCTGAAAATAAGCAATTCTTTATAGTGTATTGTGAAACTGAGTAGAAACTTTAAGACTGGTTAAGGTCAGCTTTACTTCTTAGTTTCAAAGCTACTGTGGGATCTGATGTGGGAAATGAGAGCTAAGGCCCCATTTTCCAGAAAGAGGAGGAGACAAAAAAAGTCGCTTTCTGGAGATAAAACCCTCTAATAGCAATAAAGACCTCACTGGAGCAAAAAGATGCAACTCATTCTTCCCTGTGCTTGTTGGACTGAGTTGGTTTTCCGTAGTGTTTGTGAGGTCTGTGAGAAATGTTTGGATAAGATCTTTTGGTGCTGTTCCCAGAACATGGTTCATGTGATATCAAAGAATCCTGATGCTTTGCCAGGGACCTTTTTGTCATTGGGAATTTAGAGGCTGGGTTTGCAAAGAGTTGGCTGAGCTGCAGTACAAAGAAAACTCCTGAGCAACCCATTCAGGCAAGCCATCTTCAGTCAAAGGCCACCAGGGAGCTGTACCAGCAGGCTCGACCCAAAAGAGCAAAAGAAAGACAAGTGACAATTTTAACTTCTGCAACACTGCAGAGCTGAAGCTGAAACATCAGTTATCCAGGCCATGGATTTACACTGAAATATGAATTACTGGAATAACTAAATGAGATCATTGTAACCTTTCTTAATGCCAGACTGTCTTTGTATTGAAGCAAGGAGATCAAAGAGATGAAGACCAGACTGATGTGCAATTATTATATTCCTTCAACTGCAAGAATTAGAGACTCAAGCTGCCTGAGAAATGGGAAGCAGGGATTTTGACTGACCTCACTTAAATACTATTTCAGTAGCATTTAGACATGAGTCTAAATTGGTAGTTTCCAATCTTTTTTTCCATCTGTCATCCATAACTTTTCCTCACTGACATGGCAGTCCCAAATTAATGGGAGGTTAACATACTAACAATTTTCCTCACTACTTCCATTCACCTCTTAAAGTCTGCAGTTACAGACAGCATATTTTGACTTAATCTCCCACTGCTGCACGCAGTACTTACTTTAGGTGCAGTTTGCCACCACATGCTTACAATACACAAAAGATGTGAAGGAAGCAGGTTTTCCAGAAGCCTTACATTTGCAGTGATGACCTATTAGGTAAATTTGCATCCTTCCTGCTTAGTGAAGATGAAAAGATGCAAAACAATATCCTAATGGGTCAAGTTTATACAGTTTCAACTCACATAATACTGTTTTGCTTACTGATGAATATGTTATGTGACAACTGCTAGAAATCTGAGAAGCTATTTTGACCAATTTTGTCTTCCATTTTTAATTATTATGCCACGTATTTTTGTATTGATTTCATTCTATAGTTTCTATTACGATCCGGTATCAGGACGGTCTAAAATAGGTAAGTGTTCTGAGGTCATAGCCATAATTAAGGCCACTTTTTAGTTGCTTAATTTACACTGATGATTAAATTTCAAATCAGGAAACATTGTTTTTCTTCCTAAAGATCGGGTTTAAATTGTAATTAGAATCTTATAAATTTATTTTGTTGTAAGCAGAATTTCTTTTTTCACAACTTTGCAAACTTTATTAATAATCTTTGCTACTTACTGTCACCTGCATATCTTGACTTTACCATGAGCATTTTATCTGACCTGCTGTAGGTATTCTCAGCCCTGTGTTCATTTGACATGATTCACTTTGATTTTTCTTAGCCATCATTGCATCTGGTCAACAGACAGATCAGCTGAAGAAGTTATTACCAGTGCATGTGTGTACATACACAAAAAATTTTATATGTCCATATGAAAGGATTTATGTCCAGAGATTTATTTGGTATTAAGGTTCATTGACCACCACCAGTGCCACTTAACTAATTATGAAAGCAAATATGCTAAGATTGAGAAAAGGGTACATATTTTTAATTAGATATAAATGAGATAGAAAAGTGCAGACCAATCTGTAGAAAAGTTTTTGAGCTTGTGACTGACTTACCACATGATCTGCCTCTCCTTACATCAGTGGGTTCATGCCATGTACACCATGTCTCTGAGTTCAGTGTGCAAGCCTTGTGCCAACTCTGCCTTCTTGAAACCAGCCCATCTATCTTCTAACATTACTGTCTTAATTTACAACTGCCCCTATCTGGTGCTTTCCTGATACACTGAAGAAAAGAAAATCAGTTGTATCATACCATGAAACATAGAAACTGGAATGCAAAGTATTACTTATTTCTAAGTTTAAATATACTTTTCATGATGAAAAGTGACTGCTGTATTTATAAAAAAGAGTTTGCATTTCTACTCAGAAATTATTAGCACAGTAAGGATTACTTACTATCTTATCTGAATAAGTTGCTAAAAATTCATATTCTCAATTTGCCAGCTCCCTCCGCCAAAAATTAACACCAAAGAAAATACTTTGAAATGTTATTCCAGTGTTTCTTGAAAAGGTTGAAATCAAAGCAAAGTATCCAGGACTTCTGCTTAAGATACATGAACATCAGATTTTCTATGAACTGCAGATAATATAAGAATATAATTTTGTTATTAGTTTATTAACTAGGTACAGCAAGTAGAAAGTGGAGCTGAAAATCCTTTTTGGAGGTCATTTATTTCAATGTTGCCAAAATTCATTATTATTAGGCCTTTCTTTCTACTGTAATGGCATAGATGCATACAAGCATCCCTATTTTCAGTTCAGCATGTGGGTGCTACTGCTGTACAATAGCTAGAATCTTGTGCCTGGGTAGTTGTGTTCTGCAGCCACTGCCTGAATTGCCTGGTATCAATAGAAACTTCCTCTCCCTAACCCAAGTTTTGATGACCCTGGGAAATGACACCATTCCTCACATCCTATGCCTCTAAATGCTCCTCAGTAGTGGATCTGAATTTCATTAGAAAGGAAAGGGTCAGCCCCCACTTTCTGCTGCTGGGGTAGCATCACCTTCCCCACAGGTCAGTTCACTTTTGCCAAGGGAACGCAATGAACATGGAACAAGTGTCCCCCACAGCTGGCCACTGGCAATGCTCAAAATGTGTCCCTAGGGAGGGAGAATCTGAGGGCTCTGCTCCCTTCCTGTCCTGCTGACTGAGAGTAAGTACAACATTCTTCAAATGACTTCCAGAGAGTAGTTCTAAGGGAAAAGGTTAGAAGAAAGAGAAATACTAAATTAAATTCTTCTGGAACTTTACCTGGGCCTCCAAGGATATGTCACAGTCTTCCCACAGCTCAAGAGCTCCTGATCCAATCCATCTCCCTTGTCCAAGAACAGGATCAGTTACAATAAACTGAAGTCAACACAGTTGTCTAGTCTGACTTGTAGCATCGTTGTCACTGGAGATGTTTACTTTCCAAAATAATATATTCCAGTGCTTCACTGTCACTATGATTAGACAGCTCATTTTTTTGTTTTCTTTTCTCGCTAGTGTCTTATTTAAGCGTCCAGTGCTCCATCCAAGGGACATTAATTATGGTCCTTTTCACTTAGACAGATTGTCCCTTACCTCTTGAAATCAAATTTTCACATTACTGAGGATTCCTGACCTCAGTCCTCTCATTTCTAGGCTCTATCATTAGAAGTCATTGTCTTATATATCTTTTCTCTATCTTGTTTGTTTGAGCTCCCTCCACCTTTAAGTGTGATTTCCAAAATTAAATAGCATATAATTACTGAACACCTGAAAACAGAATTCCTACTTAGTCATCTCACAAGATTTGGTGGGTTTTTGAGGCTCTTCTTGCTATTGGCACAAAGTTAGCAACATGTTGATCTTCATCTCTTCACATCCTAGGGGTTTTTATAAATGATTATTGTACTATATTAAATAATCTTTGAAGTGCTGTTCCTTAACACTAGTATCAAATTAATATTAGATACATTTTTCTGACAGACATTTAAAATTACTGTTTTTTTCTATATTTTAAGTTTAAAAATTACTGAAGAATGAGCCAGATTTGTACTGCTTGATGATTGCATATGACACCAGGAGAACTGGGTTTGGAGTCATAATGGAAAATGGGTAAACTCCTGAATATATTCCTCTTTTTTCTTACATGAATGGTATACTCCAGAACCATCAAATTCTTCTCCATGTCACTTGGTCAAAAAGGAAAAATGAGGAAGCTGGGTAATGCTGATAAGGTAACTTCACAAAATGCAAAGAATAAGTTAATAGATTTTCTGCTTCCGCTGATAAGGCAAGGATTTATAATGTTTGCAAAACTTGCTTCAGCTGATCTTTTTAAATGACTCTTGTGTCATTTCCGTACACTCATTTGCATCCTTTCACTGTGATAAAACCATGGTCAGTTATCTTACCAGGTTTTTGCTACTTGAAGTCATCACACAAATATATAAGTATCTACTTATATGTTCTCATCTTCTAAACTGGAAATGAGCAGGAATGTTAGGCTCTCATTGATAAGGAGTTGCATGATTTATTTGAAATTAGGCTTTGTTTTGTGTCATCTTTAGCAAGCAGTGCATAGGACTCTGGTTTTAGGTATAACTATTTGTGAATGACCCCCTCTTTTCCCAGCTGAAGTAGGTGATGACCATTCCACTCTAGACAAAAAATCTAATCACTGTGATATAAACAGCACAGGGAGACCCTGGACTGAAGAAGATATAAGCATCAACCAAAATAAAGACCCCAAGTGAAATGTAGTGATAAATGCAGCCAGCCATCTCCAGCTAGCCAGTAAGATTTGAGTAGAAGGTGATGTGATTCCAGTGGCTATATTCATATCACAATAATACTTAGAAAAAATTTAGTCTTTAATTCATGAACAGTAGTAATGAGAGACAGCTGAGAGATGTACTGCATGCCATTTATTTAGAGCTATTGGAAGACCAGTCAACTGTCTCATGATCTGGCCAAGCCTAACAGCTCATATGGTGATCTCTAGTGAGTTTTATTTAGGGTTTAAACAGGGAAGTGCTTGAAATGATACACTAAAATAAAACTATGACAAAACTATTATATAGTCTATTCTAATGGAGTTGTTAATATCAGCACCACCTTCAACTGAAACTTATAATACTCCATTAAATATCTGCCTACATCATTCAAAAGCATGGCAGAAATAGCAATACCACAATTACTGCTTCAGATACTTCCCATGGAGTGACCCATGATACCTAATGGATTCTGTCAGCCGTGTTTTAGAACCTTAAGTTAGATTACTTCAATTAGGATACTTTAGTTAGGATGCAACCAAGCCTTCAGTAGAAACTTAGCCATTTTACTGAAAACACAAGCAGTATCTTACCCAGATGAATTTACCCTCTCATTACTCAGTATTTGCATGCCTGGCTTTAGTTCAGGAGCTTGAGCCAGTGTTTCCCCTTGATTTTTTTATTCAAGGTAAAAAAAAAACAAAAACAAAAACAGTTCTAACATCATTAAGCATTCATGGGTTTTAATTTTTTTTTAAATAGAGCCAGTCTTTGATCAGAGACAGAAGCTGCTAAGTGCAGATTCCATATTTTGCCAAGGCTATAATTTAAAATTTCACCTTAATCTTATCTGTTACAGGCTTTTGAATAGGAGATAAAGTACCTGATGAAGAGCATGTCTACACACCACCTCTTTGGAGAAAGAGGCAGAGTGAAAAGCCACAAACTCTTAGAAAATATCAGTTAACATAAGTGGGAAAGTAAAAAGCGTTCGAAAGCACAGTCAGCCTAAGGAACTTGGTTTCAGCTACGAAGATTTGAATGGAAGAACGCAATTTTTACATTCATCAGGTAATTCCATTTAAAAATCTGTGCCTAATTTAGTAAAAAGGCAAACTAGAACTATATTTGGGGCACATTTTATATATCTTTATATGCAGATTTACTTTGGCCATAAAGCTCAAGTAGGAGCCTTACCAAGTGGCAAACATACTAACACCTTTTTCCTACTGAGTTTTTTGACTAAACTTCTGTCTCAAATTTGTATTCCAAGAATAGGAGGAGATTTATTTTTTTTTTAAATCCTTCATCCAGCAGTAGAATTGATGCAGGAATGTTTCTGGGTACTCTCAGGACATTCATCTTCTGAGCAATCTGCAAGATTTGAATTATTATAAGTTTTAAAATTTCTTTTCAGTTAATTTAATTCTCCTAAGTTTTAGCAGCTTTTTACAGTTGGCAGTTACTGAAGCTGCAGTTCAGCTACTCCGGTACACTTCACAAAGTCAAGCCTTTAAAATCTGTGGATGCTTTCTTGTCTGCTATTGTACCTCATGCCAGCAACTACAGATGATAAGTCATTAAATACAAGACAGAGGGTTGTGAGCAAAAAAAAAATTTATTAAATATGAGACTTATGTCTGACCTGCTTCACCCAATTTTGTCTCTGTGGCAACAGCCACAAGCATGTGACAAAACATTTGGGATTTTTCTGAAGTTTACATACTTAAAATGTCACTTTTCAAGAATGCATCATCTTTTATTCTTAAGCAGGTTTCAAAAGTGCAGAGCATGTTTACAGGAAAACGAATCTTGTGAATGTAAAGCTTCACCAGATAATGCATTAAAGACCCTCCGAACAGTGGGCACGGCCAAAAGTTGCACACATCTCTGTTCACTTACCTGGTCTGGCTGTGCTTTGGGAAGGGGCAAGTCAATCTTCTGAACACAAGTCTAGAATACTCTGGTATAATAATCACTAAATCTATTGCATGTTCTTTACTTAAAATGATCCAGAAGAACTGTTATAGTTTACTACAAATATTTTAACTGTGCAAGATGGGAAAGACTCAAAATTATTCTTACCTTCTATTGCTACATAAAATGTAATCATACTGTAGACAAATTTGCCATGCTGATGCATACTATCATTAGATTGCAGATTACTGGACTGAAAATCATAGCCAAAGTATATATTTTTATTTAGAAAATCTCAACTGTCTGTTTCCATATCAGTTCATCTATTATTCAACATTTTAAAGTTTTATGAAATTAATACTTCTTCACCAATGAAGAAATTCTGATGACCTGATACTCAGAAATACAAAATCATTTACTGTATCTTAAAGCTCTCCCAAAAGCCATGTAGTAGTGACATTATCTCCTGTGTCCCAGCTCTACTGGTTAACTTGTTGTCCTGGGGTGACTTTATGATACTGGTATCCCCAATCGTCTGGTTTATGTTATATATTAAGTTCTGCACCTTTAAGACTGGCTTTGAGAGCAAGAGAGGGGGAAGAAGAAGCGCGCAGTTTGTGTTAAGGAAAAACATCACTCCCACACATCCCGCTCCTGGACTGTGGTGTCTGCAGCACGGACAGACAGCGGGACAGAGCTTCTCTCTGGCTTTTAGTTAGTTTTAGCTAGCTGAGGCAGAGGAGTTCCCTGGACCTTTGTTTGGTTTTTTTTCCCAATTTTCTTGGATCTGTGCAAGCCTGCTCTGGACTGAACACCCAGCCAAACCCCGGGAGCTCACGCCTGTGGCCCACCGGGGCCTGGGCCTCGGCACTTTCCAGCGCCGGAGGGACTGATAAGAACCTGAGCGAGCTGAGCTACACCACATGAAAAGGACTTTTTTCCTCCTAGATTTGCCATCCCATCGAACAGCAAGAGGTTTTGTTATTTAATATTACTCAATTTCTGTTAAATAAACAGCTTTTTCCACTTCTCTCTAAGGAATTTTTTCTTTTCCCGGACCAGTTAGTGGGGAGGGGCATTTCCCTGGGGAAATCCCCATTTGGAGTTTTCCTTCCTAATTTGCCCTAAACTAAGACACTTGTACAACTCCAGTGTTCAACTGGCAATTGTTTGTTATCTCAATATTACACCCTTGGGAAAAAAAAGTATTTTTAGTTTTCCTTTTTCTTATACACTTTACTATCTGTATTTATGTTCTTGTTATCTGTTCACGGGATAAAAGCTTGGGATCCATTTGAACATCAGAATAAAAATTTATCCAGTTTATGAAGAAGTACCTTATACAATGATCATCAGACTCCAGCTGCTGGAGGAAAAGGCAAAAGCAATCCTACTTGCAGGCACATAAAACTAATTATACTGGCACTGCTTTTTTATCATCTTTCTCCAGCAACAGGTATGTTACTATTAAACATTTTCAATGCAAAATTTATACATAGGCAATAATGTAGGAATGTAGTGGGCTGCAGCTCTAGTACATTTTTGACAAGTAGTACGTATCTAGTACATATCTAATTTTGATATTGCCTTGGTTTTATTTGAGAAACTATGAGGTTTTTTGTCTTTTAAATAGAATATTGAGGACTTGAACTTTGCTATCTGATGTGGTCAAAAAGAGCTTTGGGAGCTGACAGGCTAGGGAGTATGCAAACCACCTCGTCTGCCCTGCTTTGTCCCTGCACTGAATCAATGATCCTGGTTACCAATCCCTCCCCTGTGCCAGCCACCAGGCTATCCAGGCTATTTTAGTGGATCCAATAAGACATTCCTTAGACAATTAAGGGCATTCTTCAGGGCCTGAAAAACACATAGGCCAGAGAGGACAGGGTCAAAAATGGTCAAAGAACAAGAAAATGGAACTAAGTAAATAGCAGTACCAGATCTTCATGCAAATAGAAATTTGGGGGCTTGCACTGTTGTTGGTTACCACGGGTTCTGTTTGCTCTAGACTTTAATGTCCATTTATATTCATTCCCATCACTGACATCCTATGCATTGTTAACCTCAAGCTGTATCTCCATACAAGTCTGAGATTCTGCTTCTGCAGCACAACTGAAACACCTGTGGGCAAATGAATTCACAACCTCCATCCATTTCCCTCTTCTCTCCATTAAAAACAAGTAAGAAGAAAACAACCAAAATGCACACAAAACCCCCAAACCAACAAAAAGACTTGAAAGTGAAAACAAAACCAAAACAAAAAATGAAAACGACAAAAAGCCCCACAAAAAACCAAAACAACACCAAGAGCAACCAAGCAAACAAAAAAAAAAAAAACCCAAACCCAAAAAATCCAAACCCAGTACTGTTCCTCCACTGCCAGCAAATGCAACTATTGTGACCACCTCATGTTATCCCTATCTGGGCTGTTGTCTCCCAGTTGAACCTCCCTGTATTCCTTACTGGAAGGTTACAGTTGCAAGTCAATTGCCAGTCTTTCCCCAGAAGTATGAAACAAGTTTACACACTTAAAATTGGTCAGATTTTTATTTATACTGCACACTCATCCAATTTGCCTCCCACAAAAATATCTGCCTTACTGATACCACAGGGGGACAAAATGAAGTTCTGGGTAGCATCTACAAGCCTTCCATTTCTGAGCCTGACTGGTGACCTAAATAAAACTTTTCAGTATTAGGTTTTTCCAAGATGTAATTTATACTATGGCTGTCATGAGTTAAGATAGTAGTTGCCATGGAGCTTTAATCTTTTTTTAGGCTTTAGTCAAAGCAAGCTGGAAATCAGTATGCTGGGTAGAACCCTGCTCAATAGAATTTTATTCAAATTGGGGCAGGATTTAATCCTAATTTTTCTGCTGAACATTGGTATCAAAGAATAGAATTCATTCTATTTTCTTCTCTTCCTCAAGAGATGAAAGTTTCCTTTCCAGATTCTTAGATCGTGCTACATTCAACCCAAAAAGTAACCGAGTTGGTTCCCCTCTATTCCTTCAACTGTAAACTCTAACTTTCTTCTAATCTTTATGTGCACAGCTAATCACTGCAGTGAAATTCATTCACCAGTTCTTCCATTTGCAGTGAAGGCATTCTGTAAGTATATGAAAGCAAAGCTTTAGGGAAGATTTTATTTTTCTATGCACACACTAATCTCTATACTGAAAAGCAGGCCTGTGAAACAGAAACTACAGTTTGAATCTATGTCTGTTCTACTTATAACTCCCTTGATGTGTTTAAGAAAAAAACCCAGAAGTACACAATGCATGAAGTGCATCTCTGAGAAGTACAAAATTTGCCATGCTATAGCCAGTAAAGCTGTTCTGGAACACAGCTGCAGCCGAACAGAAATGCAATTCAGTTTAATACTTGCATTTAAATCTTAATGGTTGACTTAAACCTGAACTTGCCCTATGCCAGGTAAATTAAAAGAAAGCAGATCTAGGTGGAAAAAATGCAGAATTTTTTAAAATGAGCTTTTAGAACTCTTACCCACCAAAAAAATTAGAAAGGATTCAGATGAAATCTTAACTTGACCTTGTGACTTGGATTCAAAAGCAAATGACAGCTTTGAATGAAAAATTTCCCAGAATTTTCATTAAATAAAACTGTTTACTGCCCAGCTGTAGTGGCACTGCATAATCCTCAAGCTGTTCCAAAGACTGCAGAGTAAACAGAAAACTGTCACAGGAGAGAATTTCAAACTCCTTTCAACTCTTTCATGGCATGTACTATAAAAGAGGCATGATAACAGGAAAAAAAAAAACCCGTATTTTCCCTTCTACAGTATGTAAGTGTGGGACTTGAACACTTGCACATTAACATATGTTTATACCACTGACAGCAAAATGTCTTACCTAACTAGCATTGGACAGAAGAACAATTGTGGGTTTGAGTGAAAGCTCTGCTCATCAACTTCAGACGATCAAATGCAAAGACTTGTGGTTCTATTTTTTAGTCTGAGGTGTCAGTATCAAAGACTTGCAGAGATACTGGAGATGAGACCTCTTAATAAAAGAAATATACATTTAGACAAGAGCAAAAAATAACTCCAAGCCATTAACTTGCTGATGTGGCCAAACTTATAAAAGCCCATCTCAGCTCTAAAAGGGTATCCAAAACAAAACCCTCATAAAAATTCAGGGAAGAAAGAGGCACCCTTACCTCTATTCTGAACCAGTTTCGAGACCTGTCAGTATCACATTACCATTTCTGGATGTGTAGATCAGTTAAACCTTGGAAGGGAAATAGTTAAAACTAGTTTGAATACAGAAGTATTATCATAATGCTGCAAGTATCAAGATGGCCTTACAATAAATATAGAAGGCAAGTATTAAATTGCCTGTTTTGCTTTCAAAGCAATATGCTTGCTCTTGTGTATTTGTGTTTTGCTTTAAAGCTTATTTCATCAAAATTAATCAAACCAGTCCACAGGACAGTGATCAAAAAACATTATTGCTCCAATATAGTTTATTTTAAATAGCTTATGGGGATCTTTTGCTGCTGATGGAACCTGCATTACTTCAAAACTGAAAGGCAAAAAGAGCTCAGAAGAGCACCATTTTTTTAAAAGCTATAAGAAAACAAGATGTAACTAGGCTGAATTAGGATGCAATAATTTTCAGCATTAATTTTCAAGAGAGCCGTTAACTGTGTAGTCACATATACTTCTATCAATTTCCAAAGTATGTGTTGCCCAGATTAATTTTTTTTTTTTTTTTTTGCAAAAAGATAGACTTACTTCATGAGACCAAATACATATCTTGAAGAGGAACTGTTTAACAGTATTTTCTTTTCATTTTGACTTCACTAACAAAGTTCATCCCTTTAAGAAAAGTAATTCAACATTAAGAAGCAACATAAGAATTCTCTACTTACCTTTCTGATTTCATACAAGCATCTTATGTACATCTTCAGCAATTACCATTGATCTTCTTTGGGAATGGATAGAAATCCACAAAATTTAGGTTTGGTTAAAAGAAAGGGGTGAAAGGCTAAATACCAGATAACATCAGATCTTTTCTCATGTATGTCTTGACAACAAATTAGCTAGATCGTTTAAAATAAATAATTGCAGAAGCACCTAGTATATTTGAGGGATGCTGCTAATTTGCAATATAAACTGAACTATTGCTACATTTAAGCAATTTTTCGTATTTAGGCAAGCACGTGCCATTTCTGCAGCACTACCTTCACTGGAATCCTTGAGAATTCCTATTCATTGCTAGAAGGGTCATTAGCATAAAAGAAAGCATCCCTATATTAGATATTTATCTGGACCACTTTGAAAATCTAAAATATCCTTTCTGTAACACCCCAACATACACTTCCTACTTCAGCAATTATTTCAGATGAACAATTATATAAGGCTCACAGATTTCCTCTCTGTATTGGAAAGTCTTGATTTATCCAGTACAAATTCAAGCACTACGTTTCCATATAAATCAGTAACATTAATAATTACAATTTTATTTGTACTTTGTTCTACAACTTCGGTGCTTACTTAAGCAATGTTTATTTTTTAATACTAGGGAGAAC